TGGCCGCTGATGTGACGTCAGTGAAAGCCATGTGTGCAAGGTTATCCGAGTGCTCTTCAGCGTAAAAGAAAATCCTATAAATAAGCTAACTAACTGAGTGCAATTAAACTTCTTGCAAAGGTCTCTTTAGGTGGTAGCATTTATGGCTGAACTCCATAGAACGAAATATGTGACGAATAACTGGCGAACGCCGCTCGACGGCACGCTCACTTTGCGCGCGATGTAGCAGCCACTGATTCTACGCGCAGAGCAAACACCGCCGGGCAAAATTCGTTGGTTATTCGCAGAATATTCGTCCCATGGGGGTCAGCCTATATCATACTCAAAGATCGTGGGTCTAAGTTTCTGTCAGAAACGCAAGAAAAGAAAAAAAAATATTTTCTTACGCGTGGGAAGAGAACATCAGCGAACCTCTGATTGGTTCTGCTACTTTCTCGATACATAGAAAATTCCAAATGTTTGTTTTCTTGTAATTTTGTTGCCAAAAACCTACACTAAAAAAATATGAGTATGATAAATGAACTACCTAAAGACATCTTTGTCAAAAGTAGCATTGCGCTCCGTTCATTGACTTACTTATACCTCTTTTTCTTTTCTTTTTTTTTTTTTTTTTTGTTACGTTAGAATGGCTTTTGAATACAACTTGTAGAAAGCCCTACTTAACTGTCGGATCTCGTCTATTCAAAGTGTTCAGAGTCTCGTAGACGAGGTATACGACTTATAGTATTTCACATTCCGATTTTCTCTCTCCTAACTCATGTTCCTTTTGTACTCTCTAGTACATCGACGTTGACTTCTTCGTGTTTGTTGATAAACTATTAGTATTATGTCACAAATTATACAGTGTTGCAACTTTACGACTCACACGACCGTACGCTGCCCAAAAGTGTCGTATAGAGGGGGTAAAAATAGAGTTCATACATCATGTGCTAACCTTGCAGCTTTGTATGCGAGACAAGCCCTGGCTGTGCAGTAACCCCAAATGGTAACACAGGCCAATACATTGCAGATATTTGTAGTGACGACGCTACGTGGCACGTGTAATCAAGTAATGAGAGTTTTGACCTTCTTTCTTCAAGATAAAAAAATAAATGTAAACTCGCAGCATTAAACAAAACAAAAAACGGACCAAAGTGAAAACGGTTTGATATACCGGACTCCAATTAAATGCGAACGGCGGAGCGCGTGGCTTTCGATAGGCTAACTGGGGGACAATGGGAACTCAGAAATATACGCAGGAAAGCCCACTGCGCATTTTTATTAGTTCTAAGTGGCACAGCATAAATAGAAAGCCACGTGCTATTTATTAGGGCCCGGTTGTAATACTTCTGTGATCTTGAGAGGCTTTTGTGCCGTTCACTTTATCACGAAGCTTTAATTACCATATATTTTATATTTATAAAGGGAACGAGTAATTCGAGAAATTTGCTATAAATTAAATATTGAATAATCAAATTTTATTGCATATTACTGCCGCGAAAATGTGACTTGTTCTTTATACAAATGGGCCAAAAAGATTTTAACCATAAAAAAATATTCACTTTCAGATGCTCCGACAGTCATTTATCCCGAAAGTGTGGCTAGGTGGTGTATTTGTTTGGTGAAAATATAAAAGTAAAAAAAACTTACCTCAACTGAAATCAACAAATGAAAACCAAGCTTTTTTTATGAATCCGTATGAAGACGTTTTTTTAGATTAAAAGTGAAAAGGCATTTTTGTAGGTTGATCGGTTCATTTTATTGTGCGAAACGGAACGAGAGCAACTTCAAAATTCACTCACTATTTTGTTTTCGTTAAATCACACGTCCTGTGTGTGTGTTAGTGTGTGTGTGTGCGCGCGTGTGTGTGTGAGTGTGTGTGTGCGCGTGCGCGCGTGCGTGCGCGCGCGCGTGTGTGCGCGTGTGCGTGTGCGTGTGTCTGTGTGTGCATATCCTTGTGTCTTTTCGTTATAAAAACAAATGACAACACTTCAATTCAGACTGTGACTACTGTGATGAAGAAATTTACGAGGTTATCTACCATTTCAAAATGGGTTCCACGGTTGATATTTCTTTTATAACCCCGTGGAACCTTTTTTTCCTACTCGTGACTTGGAATCATTCTTTGCGGACACATTTTTTTCTGATACCTTTTTTTTTTTTTCTTTTTTTTTTCAGGGCCGTTTATTCCGGTGCCATTTGTTTTCCGGGCTATTTCTTTTTCCTACACCCTATTAAAGGGACGTAGTTGCATCTCTTCCCTCTATTGAGGGTGACAAGCGTCCATACGTGAAACACAGCTGTGAACTATGTCGGTTTTCCTTTTCTCTAATACACGCTTCACGTATTCCGTCTTGATTAGAAATCAAAAACAACAGGGCGGTTCACAGAACGGCAGTATAGTGGCGTAATAGGGGACCTTGGGCAGGCGACTTTTGATACTCGGGAAAGTTAACACGGGGATTTTAAAGGACGAGGCACAGGGGAAACAACCCCTGGAATAAAGCCGCGATCGCACTGTTAATAATACATCGTACGAATGACAGTGTGGAGACACGTTCTGAGGCGTGTTTCTTCCTTCAGTCCTGTCACATAGAAGCTCTCTGCAGACAAGTTCGAAGCATTTATGAAGCAAACAGGCTTCGAACATGCTCGAGACGTGTCCACAGATACCGTGCCACACGGGAAACTCGAATGCCATTTACAACGAATGACATTTGATCGGACGGCCAATCAGCGCGCGACCTAACCTAACCTAACCTAACCTAACCACGCGCTACAGATTGCGAGCTGATTCGCCGATCACACAAATGCCATTCGTTGTAAATGGCATTCGAGTTGCCCGTTGGGTATAATTATCTCATCATGTCTGCGGAGAACTCCGTGCCTTTCGTATGATGTGTGTATCAGCAGTCCGATCGAGACTATCCGAAGGACAAGTCGTCTGTTTTTTGCACAGGAGTTGCGGTGACATCAGAACGACACCGAGCTTTGATTGGTTTTCATTGAAAGTATAGTGAGTTTTCCTCAATGCTAGATGCCTCGAGTTCTACCCAATATTTTTTTTTTCGAACAGCCAATAAGAGCTCGGCATTCTGACAATATCACAACCCCTGCAAAAGAAGCAGACGAACTTGCGCTCCGTATACATGGACGGTGAAACTGGCAGCGGGGGAAAACGGGTTGCAAAAAAAAAAAAACGGTCTCAAAAAAAAAAAAAATGGACCCGGACAAATATGATTTTGGTTAAAATGGTCCCGGATAAAATGGTACCGGTCCAAATGATCCCGGGACAAGATGGTCCCAAATGTGAACCCGGACGAAATGGTCCCGAGGGATCTTTCGACACTCTGGGCGCTCTTTGATAGTTTTGGTAAACTGCTACTTTGAAGCTTTATTGAAGAGTAGTGTATATATTTTTGGCTATTCGAGCCTTTAGATATCTATTCCGTGAAGCGACTAAAGAAACCCAAAAGTTAATTAAATTTCTATTATCGCTCGTCTCGGCTATGGGGCTCCCATTCGCATAGGTCGGGGCATTGTTCCTTAAAGTCGCTACACAAATACATAGGCGTATAGAGTAAAAGCACAAGGTCGTGACGCACACTCTGCGCTTGGTTGAACTAGCCGGTGATAATATGATAATAATATTAATAATAATAAACGTTATTTATCAAATAAGTACGGTGGGAGCTGAGGAAAAACCTGTTAAAGCAGCTTGACAGGTCCTAGCCTCCTGACAGACACACAGCAGTTGCAAAGATTACATATACAAGAAATTATATAATACTGATAATAACACAACATACGTGCAAAATTTCAAGAGCGGTAGTCAGTGGCGTAGTAACGGGGGGGGGGGGGGGGGGGGGGGGGGGGGGGGTCCGGGGGGCCGTGGGCTTCGGGTACCAGGAGTCTCAGTCACGAGGGGGGGTGCCACTTTCGGCGGAAATCCCCCCCGGCTTGACTGGTTCGTAAGTGGCAAAGAATGTGTAGACGCATGAGGTCACCACTCTTCCATTACGAACGTGTCTGGTGCAGAGTCGCAAAACTGGCTTGGCTCGCGCAAAGTCATCGCGCACCGGCGGAAAAAACAAGCGCGGAAAGTGCGGGAGCACTCGAGAAAGAGCTGTGCCCGGGCACGCCGAGCCAACGCCACCTAGTCTACGCCAAACCCAGCGCAACACGACGCTGGCTTGCGCCGACCACGGCCGGGCTGCGCCGAGACAGCAAGAGAAGGCGCCAGACGAAGAAGAAAGAAATCACAGGAAGGTCTTACACAAAAACTTGGAATGCAAAGCAGTTTCTAGAATTTATTGCCAAATGGAGCTTTTTCGAGACCCTTCCAAACCTGACTGTTATATTTCGCTTGTTCCTCACCATTTGTGTTTCAGTTGCCTCATGCGAAAGGAACTTCTCCAAGCTAAAGCTAATCAAAACGTCTCTGCGCTCCACCATGAGCGATGAAAGGCTCTTAAACCTGTCGATACTGTCCATAAAAGAAGAACGTTAAAAAAACATAAATTTTACAACAGTAATCAATAACTTTGCAGAAGCCAAGTGTCGGAGAAAGAACTTATGAAGTAATTGAATGTTCAGCTTTCGTTACACAAATGCTCAATATAAAAAAAAACTTCATGTGTCCTCATTATGTGTACATAGTTGAATAAACAAAGCACTCTTTGCTGGCTAACCCTGTATTTATTATTTCATTGTCGCTGCGTGACCTCGCGTTGCGGTTATGGCTTTTAGCTTTGCGGTCTCGGGGAGCGGGGGGGGGGGGGGGGGGGGGGGGGGGGGGGGGGGGGGGGACGTGACAAAAGATTTAAGGGCCCCGGGTGCCAGATGGCCTAGCTACGCCACTGGCGGTAGTACAAGTTAAAGAGCAATAATTAAGTAATACAGTGATACATTTACAGAACAGAAAACAAAGTTTTGACTGTTTATTTTAAACAATATAATTCCGAAGTTTACGAGTGCTACATAATCTTAGATCTACGTATACGCAAACTTCACGACCTATAGGGTGCGCACTGGCTCCTATCAAAATGGCTGCCATTTGAATGATCGTCGTAGAACAGTAGCACGAAGGGGTTGTGTGTGTGTTTATACAGTCTAGAACTTGGTCTGCCTCACAGGGGCGACGAGTCTCCTGCAGCTGTAGATGAGAAATTTAGCCAGTGCGGGACAGCCGCTAGCCTGGGGTCTTTAACGTGCATCACGCAGTAGTGATACACGACCGCACGCCGGTACGATGCTCATCCAGATCGAGACGGGCAGGGGTGGGGCTCGAACCCAGGATCCCTGGGTTCTGCAGCGCGAGCTTTCGCTCCACGTGCTCCGAGCTGGTGTGCGCTAGACCACTCGGCCACCGATCTGGGTCTGCGATGCGTAAGTCATTCCAGTTTTGCTGTATACGCGCAGTATTGGAGCCTTACTTCATATTTTCACGACAGGAAGGTGTAGGCAAGCACTTTTATTATGAATTCAATCATCCAGGAGCCAGGGAGCGCAATTCTCACACCGCGGTACCACCATCGCTGAAGTAACCATGGACGGCGTAACCGCGCCCGTGAGAAAGAGCATCGTCGATGTGTAGGCGCCGTCGGTCTCCCACTGGGTGTTAGGATGAAACGCATTCGACGTCGAGATCACGCTATGCGCGCACGTAAGGCAGCACGTAGAAAATAACGTTACTGAACGAAGAATGGACACGCTGGTGGTGCGACCAAGCATTTTGTGCAGCGCGACCGCGGTAATGTGTTTAGTTCCAGCGCTGTTCTGTGTGTGATCGTGTGACGCCCGAGTCCCACTATACAAAGACAAACAGAAACAATCGACGCCGACAAGACTCAGGTACGCCCAATATGCACGCGATGGTACTACCTTTGGCAGACTTGCAGTCTCTCGGTGCTCGTGAATGCAAGCGCAAGTGATCGCAAGCCTGCCAAAGATACCGCGTGCATGATGCACGTATTTGAGGCCTGTCGGTGTGTGTTGTTTCTGTTTGTCTCTGTATAGTCCGTTCAACCTGAGACTGCATCCTGTGTATACAAGCGCGAGAACACGACGTTGAGGCTTTGAAACGTTCTTCCGCAGAAGGAGCACTCGCGCTAGAATGTATACGTCTCAAAGCCAGGAGCGCACGTTCTAAATCCCAGTTCAGCCAGCGCTCGCTCGCCAGCCAGAAAGTGTCAGTGCATGACGCACGAACAAAGCAATGAACGCACCCTCCCACGAGTTTATGTAAAAGTTTATAGGGAGTATTCTCTGGCGGCCATAGCTGTGTGCACGAACGTTGAGCACGTGCTGATGTTGACCTTCCAGAGTTCTTGCGCAATGTGCATTCCGCATCATCAAGATTGGTGGTCTTTGCAGCCTATTGATGTGAGCTCTTTCTGAGCATGCGGTCTAAAAAGCGTCCCCAAATATGACGGCCAGTGAATACCCCCTATAGTGGGACTCGGGCATTATGGTTTATGCGAGACAGCGCGTCGCATTACCACCAGATTTTTAAGTCAACCACAACGAAATATCACCGAAACGTCGCACCAGTCCATTCGCGTCATGTCGCATGATCGTCCACGCTATTTTTTTTTGTCTCTCATGCTGAATATGCCCAATATTATAGGAACATTATTTGATATATACTTGTATATTGGCGGAAAGTGTTATTAAATTGAATATACACAATTGAAAACGGTTAGCCTTTCATAACTTAGGTATTCAATAAAACATTTTCTTTTCTTTATGCTCAATTTGCATAAAATACAAACAATCGACTGACTTCCGGAGAGCAAGTAACTATGCCACAAAATTTACGTGATACCATTTATCCGGGTTTGCGCCTGGAACCATTTCGTCCGGGGACGTTTTGACCGGGACCATTTTGTCCGGCAACATTTCCTTGACACCTTCCTATAAATTTAGTGTCGGAGCATGCAAAATTTATTTCCGACATATATTTCAAGTGCGTTTACTTTCCGAGTATGGAATGGAGCGTGCGGAAGCACGGTTTAGCAGTATCGCGGTACAATTGTACCGGGATAGTATTTCGGAAATATATATCGTATTTGTTTCTGTAGTGCAGTACAATTGTTCGAGCGTATTTTGTATTTTTGTTTCCAAATACATTTCCGGGTGTATTCCTGGTACCGGATCTGAGGGTGATATATCTCGTTACGATTTTTTGAGGGGTCGTTGCACTCCAAACAGCTGAAGCGGAACATTTCTTTTTCTTTTTGCTTGAGTGAGGTGGAGAGTGCTTTGAGGGGGATTCTCAGGCTTTGTTACCGTGCTGACCAAGGTTTGTTCGGGACGTTTCGTCTCTGACCATACCCAACCCTTGTTTCTACTCTGCAAGGTGGTCGGCTATAATTCCAAAAGCTAAAGAAGTTGCCGGCACGAGCTTTAGAAGTTCAAGTTTCGTTGTTCAAGTCCAATCAATGGATGTAAGGACACCGGTTCATTACACCGTGACATCGTCAGAATATTGCTAAAAATCATACCCGGATGGGAGAAAAGTATAGGGACGCCTCGACTTGATTTGGAAAAATTCCTTGCAGGGCCCCTTTAAAGGGGCTTTGCAAGGACTTTTTTACAAGTTATTAATTTGTACCGAACCTGAGCACACTGAACGTAGTAACTTAATGAAACTTTTCTTTTCTCGAATTTCGCTTTATTTTAAAAGTTATAGGCAAACTAAAATTACAAAACAAGCAAAAAAAAAAAAAAAAACACCTTCATGACGTCCTTGGTCGCTTGAGTGGCCGTGATCTAGAGGAGGGGTAATAAGCCCAGCGAGCGCTCACTGCATGCTGCAGCACTCCGTGTCGACGGCTTGAGAGGGCGCCACTAAAGCATGTTCTGGATAGGCTGTATGAAGCGGGCAGCCAGGGCGGCTCGCAGTGCATTTGCTGCGCGATTACACACTAATTCGGCATGACACTTCATTGGCCACAAGCGACAGCAAGCACGGGGTAAACGTCAGTTCAGAACGGGAGCCACTTCGCGCTGCCATACCGCCAAACGGTCAAACCGCAAGCCAAACCTACTCGCCGAAGGCTTTCGGAACGCTCGGAACCGGTCAGATCGTCAAACCCGTATACGACCGCAGCGCTGCCGGGTACCTTTCTACGCCCGCCGCTCGTCGGTGCTTTATTCCACTACGCCTTTCTAGTATGCGCCGCCTTTTACATCGCTTGGTGGCGGGTATGTCGACGGGTCATTTCTTCTTTCCGAACTTTATAAACTGCATTTGTTTCTTTTTTTATCTAAAATATTGAACAAAAAGTACTTTCATAAATAATTGAAACGGTTCGCGCCACTTATATCTTGTATTTCGACTAAAAAGAAGCTTTCAGCGCCTGTGATCAATAGTAAGCCCAGGACCAAAGACTTCACATATCGTGCGCTTTCGGCACCGCGGGTCGCCCCCGTTCATGTTATTGAATTTTCTTCGAAACAAAATCCTGGCTACGCCACTGCGTCATGTGCTGTAGTTTTGGCACCGGGCATTTCGGTACATGCTTGGTTGGTATGGTAAGCTATCAAGTAAGAAATGTTCGTTCCAGGAACTTGTTTATATATAAGGAGATTTTTGGTATTTAAACTTTTTGGTGGGAAGCAGACATCAGATTACGTTCTAATTAAAAAGTTACCGGGAAATATATGCCAATATATTACTATTTTTATAAACGGAAGGGTAGCATGTTTTGGCAATCTTAACATTTGACGAAAAAAAAATTCCTAAGTTTTGTTTTTATAAAGTTGACGAGTCCTTATATTTTGAGCTTTATATTTTCTTCACTAGAATTCTAATCAAAATAAATGTTTCCAACCAAATGAAAAGTTTGGCCCTTTTGGTGTGTGTGTGTGTTTTTTTTAATAAGTTTACAAACAAAAACGTTTTTAATTATTTGCATAATAGACTACCAAAGTAAATTTCTTGCTTCGTTTAGGCGCGGCAAGTCTTTTCAATTTTATGGATACTTTGCAGCGTAAACGCCAATGCAAGAACGTTCTAGGAAGCTTAGCCACAAAGAGTAGATATTCCGAAAGAATCAAATATATAATGAGCAACAACGCTTAATCATAGCTACAAAAGAAATGTGGAAAGTAATATATTAAAATTCGGGGCCTTTACTCCCCAATCCTTATGTAACCCAATCCCACAAACACTTTGATCGCAGTTTTACCGCTGCCTGACGTCCCTCCTGTCACCTTTTGCTTTCACCTCCACGGGAGCGCAGCTCGCGCTGAACCACGAGCAGAACATAGAGAGCCTAGATTGAAGAGAGGGTCCATCTCAAACTTCGGGGAGCGTTTGCAATTTAATGGCGGACACCTCCTGCGGCGATCGTGCGCATGCGCTGCGTTTCGCGTGGTAAGGAGGGAGAGCAGAAGGTAAGCCGGAGATGTTTTCAGATGATCAACGTTTTCGTCACCTCGTCGCAGCTTGTATCGCAAACCCGGCCCATAAACCACGTGACCCCGATAGAGCAGTTGGAGACTCTCTGTAGTACAGGCTCTCTAGCAGATGATGATGATGATCCGCCTTTTTCCTTTGTAGCGGGCGAGCTCAGAACTTCGGGACAACTTTTCTTGGCAATGCAGTGGAAGGTACATGCCCGCGTCCCCTCTCTTATTTTGAGTGTGCGCGGGCTTGCGGGGAGAGGAGGAGAGCCCGCGCACACTCAAAATGGGAGAGGGGACGCGGGCCTGTACCTTCCACTGCATTGCCAAGAAAAGTTGTCGCGGAATATAACGAAATCTAAAAAAAAAAAAAAAGAAAAGCCTAAGATATATTTTTTTTTTTTTCTTACTGCTGCTTGGATGGATGGATGGATGGATCTGGCTAAACCCTGTGAATCGGGCGGTGGCTTGCGCCACCTAGCCAACATTATAAATCTAATTATATGTTTTGAATTCCAAGATTAAATCTCACCCCTGCCTCGATTTTAGCCACCAGTCTGATAACCTCCGCTTGGTTATTTCTTACTGCTGAGATGCACTGCCACCTCTCGGCAGGAATGCAAACCAGTACGAAATCCAGGCGTGCGATTGTACTCGCGGGTGACGTTTTACTGAAAGAGGGCAAGAGAGAAAAGGGGAAAGGGCTACCGGCGCCTAGCCCCTCGCTGGGTCGGTAGAAAGAGTGAAAATCCCGGATGAGAGGCTTCGCCGGTGTTGGGTGTCTGCAGCAGTGTCCGAACTTCGTTCGCGCTTTCTTCACTGTTTTAAACTCGCAAACTTAATAGAACCACGGGCTTGGACGGCGACAATCCCCCGGTCATCGGGACACCATTGCTCGGTCATAGGGTGCACAAATAACGACAGAAAACGTCGAATACTGTCCGAGGACCTATGCAGCTTGCACGGAATCCGGCAAG